TACCTAACCGTTCGTACCCACCCCCCCCCCCCACCCCCTTACCTTCTAGCCTCTTGGGCGCCTTAACCCATACCCACGTCAACACCCCAACCATCCATTCATACTCTATTTCTTCTTCTCTATCTTTCTATACCCCCCACACCCCCTCAACCTACCCCATTCTCCCTCCTTGGCCATACCTTCCCCCCCCCCCCTCCCCCTCCTCCTCCACCACCACCACCACCCCCACACATCCCCCACCCCCACCCCACCAGCCACTTCCACCCCCTCCTTCCCCACCTACCACACCCCTTCACCAGTAGTAGTAGTATGGCATCTGTTCACTCTCGTCGTCGGGCGGCTATGGGCTTTGACTCGCTCGCGGCCGTCGAGGCTGTCACCCCGGTCGATCCGCAGGAAGACCCCATTCTCTCGTCGCTCCCCGAGCTGCCTTGGGCAGCAGGTTCGTCGACTATGGGCGGAGCTACTTCTACTTCGGTTGGCAACAACTCGGACTCGGACCAGGATCCCAATGATGATGCTTCGCTTCGGTCGAGCAACAATGATCGGTTCGGTGCGCTGGCAGTCCCGTCCGAGTTTGTGGCTCGGCTCCTCATTCCAGCCCACTCGGTCGGGTCGGTCATCGGGCGCGGCGGCGCTTGCATCAACCTGATCCGGGAGACATCTGGCGCGCGGGTGAGCGTGCTCAAGGCCGACCGCAGCTCGCGGCGGTACGGCCCGGCGCCGGAGTTTACGGTTGTCCGGCTGGAGGGCTCGATCCAGTGCGTCTCGCACGCACAGCAGATCATCACCCATCTCATCACCGAGCTCGAGCGCGAGCAGGACCTTGTGCTCGCGGAGCGCGGCTCCGAATCGTTTTCGGATGACGGGGCCGGCTCGGGCTACTCGGACGACGCGCCGCAGCGGCGCGGCGGCGCAGGCACCAGCGAGGTCGGCGAGCATGAGTGCCAGCTCAAGTTCCTGGTCCCGGAGCAGTGCTGCGGGCTCATCATCGGGCGTGGCGGCTCGGCGATCCGCGAGCTGGGCGAGACAACGGGCGCGCCGCTGCGGGTCATCAAGATGGACCCGCCGACGATGTACGCCACGCGCGACATGCAGGGCCCCGAGGTTATTGTGTCTGCGGTCGGCACGCCGGCGGCGGTCCTCCGTGTCCTTGTCCTCATTCTCTTCCGCACTGCGTCGGCGCTGCGGTCGGGCGTGGGCCTCTCGCGGCCACGCTACCGCGGTGGCGACCGCGGCGGGCGGGCGTACGGCGGCGACCGCTCACGCTCGTCGCGCTCGTCCGAGGCGTGGGGCGGCGAGTCGCGGCGCTCCGACCGGCGCTCCGGCGACCGCAGCCAGCGTGACCGCTCGCGCGAGGCCGACGCCGACTACGACCATGGTTATCCGGCGCGGACCGACCGCGGGCCGACGTCGGCCCACGACTTTGGCGCCATCATCACCGAGACCTTTACGCTCCCGCCCGACAAGGTCGGCGACGTTATCGGCAAGGGTGGCCGTCGCATCCAGGAGTTCAACCGCCTCTCCGGCGCTACCATCCACATCTCGCAGGACATGGCGCCCGGAACCGACGAGCGCGAGGTCCGCATCCGCGGCACCGCCGCCGCCATCGAGCGCGCCCGTGACCTCATCGCTGAGCATTTTGCCCGCACTATGATGCGCGACATGGACTCGACCCAGGACATGCCGCCGGTTTCCGACGAGGCCTCGGACGAGCCCACCTCTACCGTCACCATCCAAGTCCCCACCGCCACCATTGGCGGCGTCATCGGCAAGCGCGGCGTCAACATCCAGTACATCCAGTCGGCCGCTGCCACCCGCATCCACGTCATCACCGAGGCCGAGACCGGCGTCAAGCGCGACCCACTCGGCTCGGTTGACATTGAGCTGACAGGCACTGAGCACGGCATCGCCACCGCTACCCAGATGATCTTTGAGTCGGTCGAGCGGACCCGCGCTCAGCAGCTTGCCTGAGCTCAACGCTACGCCACTCTTCTTTCTCTCGCTACTCTCTCCTCTCCTCCCATTCCCGCTCCTCCCCTCTCTCCCTCCCTCCGACACCTCCCGCCGCAACAAAATCATGACCACTGCCTTTGTCTGAAGTCAATACGTGACCACCTGTTGCGCTGCCGCCGGCTGGCGCAGCTTGCCTGCGATGGCGTGCTTAATCTTGTGAAAGACGTTGAGAACGGCGTGAGCCTCAGGCGAGCCGATGCGGAGGGAGGCGGCGCCGTCCGGGCCCTTGCCAGCGGCAAAGCCGAGGTGCAACGCCTCGCGTGCGGTGCCGACTACCTTGAGTGTTGTGATGTGGTGGTGGATGAGCCACTCGTGGGCCGGCAGCTCGTGGGGCGCGAGCGGCGGCCAGACGCCGGAGAACGCGGCAGGCGTATGGTAGATGCGAAAGGCGCACAAATGTGTGGTGCCTGCGCTCGACGAGACGTCTGCGGCAATGACCAGCCGCAAGTGCTGCCCAGTCCGCAAGTCGCGGCCGGGGAACGAGAGCGGCCCGGTCCGAAGTGCGGCTTCGAGGGTGGAAAACGACATGGTCTTGGCGGCCTTGAACCATCGCTTCATGGCGGCTTCGGTGGCAAAGCCGATCTTGAGGACCCATTCCGAGCTCTCACAGCCCTCGGAGGCGTCCGAGGCCGTATCGTCTGGCGGAGCGGTGCTCCGCGGCGACGGGAGAAGCTTGCTTGCAGCCGCGCGGCCTTGGAGCAGTAGCGGGTGTGCGATGCGGGTGCCGGTGTGGATGTTGACCTCGAACCGGGTGTTGCGGCCCGACGACCGCCGCGAAAGTCGCAGCCAGAGTCCCGGAAGCTTCCAGGCATCGGCTTCGTCGAGCTCGATCTCGGAGGTTGGGACGGCGGCAAAGACGTTGATGAAGCAGTCCGACGTGGCGAGGACAAGCCACGGCTCGACATCCGGTCCGTGAACGACACGTACCCAGTCGAGACGGAGGACACCGCCAGTAAAGGGAGGCGGTGGCGCCGAGAATCGCAGCTTCTTTCGGGCGGTGGCGAGGACACGGAGCGACGAGCCGACGAGTGACTCGGCGATGTCGTCGATGCCGAGCACGGTTTGCGAGCCAGGCGAGGCGGCGCTCACTGGAAACGGCTCAATGACGAGCTCCGAGGCGAGGCCCGGGCCAAACTTGACGACAACCCGGCCACCTTCCGACTCGGCCACGCGCAGCGCCCTCAGCGGGATCCGCATCATGACCTTATCCTCGACACTACCGTCGCCCTTGACCGCCGACAGCGCAACGTCGGCCGACGTGATGGAGATAAACGCTGGTGACGCCAGGCCCTTGGCCTTGCCCTTGCGGACCTTACGACGGCGGATGCCGCGGACACCGACCAGGCCGGCGACCATGCTGCTTGCCGCATCGCCGTCGTCGCAAAGGTCATCATCACTATCGTCGTCGTCGTCCCCTGAGCCCGAGCCCGAGTCCGAGGTCTCCTCCAGCTCGGCACGGTAGATGCCGTGGGCAAGGTCTGGCGCACGGCTGCCATCGGGTCGGCCGTCGTCCGACGACGAAAACTGGAACGGATCGCCGGCGGCGGGCGCCAGAGGGACGTGCGGCGCGTACACGACAGGGTCAGGTGCCTGCGGCTTGCATTCATCGTCGGATGAGATGTCGTCGATGTCGGCCGCCGAGAACGAGCGCGTGGCCGGAAGCGGGACGGCAACGACAGCAGGAGCGGCAGGCGTGGCCGCCAAGGCCAGGCGGAGCTTCTGGTACTCGGCGTAGACCGGAGCGATGGTGGCCTCGTCGGCACCGATCGACTTGAGCTGTCTGATCTGGGCCTTCAGCTCCGTCTTGCGCTGCTCAAAGTCTTGGGCGTGGGTTTCAGCAGCAGAATGCGGGGCAGGGACCGGAGCGGACGATCGTAGCTGAGGTGGCAACATTTCGGCTGCAAGAGTGAGAGTCGAGCCTGGAGTCGCAGCCTTGACCGCCATGTACGCGGCGTAGACCGGCTCGATGGCGGCGGCGTCGGCAGCGTTTGTCTTGAGGCGCTTAATGTCGGCCTTGAGGTGGGCCTTGACCACCGGCCAGCTTGCCTCGTCAACCGTCACCGATTGTGACACAGGTGCCGGGTCCGGCGACGGTACAGGAGGTGGTGTCGATGCTGCTGCTGCTGCCAACTTTGCCGAAACTTCTTTGTACTGTTGGTACACCGGAGCGATGTCGGCATCGGAAGCGCCTCCTGGAATGGTAACTCGAAGTTGCGTGAGTGTGTGCCAGCTGTGACAGCCTCGAGGATAAGATGAGGGATAAGGGTTGGTGGTGGTAGAGATGGCGCCCATGCATGACGATGATGTCGACCATGGCGATGATGTCGACCATGACGATGATGTCGACCATGACCATGATGTCGACCATGACGATGGTGTCGACCATGACGATGTCGACCATGACAATGATGTCGACCATGACGATGATGTCGACCATGACGATGATGTCGACCATGACAATGATGTCGACCATGGCGATGATGTCGACCATGACGATGGTGTCGACCATGACGATGTCGACCATGACGATGGTGTCGACCATGACGATGATGTCGACCATGACGATGATGTCGACCATGACGATGATGTCGACCATGACGATGATGTCGACCATGACGATGATGTCGACCATGACGATGATGTCGACCATGACGATGATGTCGACCATGACGATGATGTCGACCATGACGATGATGTCGACCACCCCAATCCGATCCCGCTTCCGATCTCAATCCCGATCCCCATACCAAACACCATCCACAACCACTCGACTCCCCCCCCCCCCCCCCCTCCCCCCCCTCCCCCTCCCCCCCTCCCTCCCCCTCCGCCCTCCTCCCTCCCGCTCACCAACGTACCGTCTTTGAGCGCCTTGACCTTGGCCTTGAGTCTGGCCTTTGCCTCCACCAGCGCATGTCTTCCATCAGTGGACATGGTATAGGTATATATGCGTGTACCTATGTATGAGTATGAGTATGGGTATGGGTATGTGTGGGTATGGCTATGGCTATGGGTGAGGTGGTCGTCATGGCCTGCTCCTGCCGCCGCTGTTCCGTTGCTCCTCGCGCCGCTCCGCTCTCCCGCAGGAGACAACCGATGTGGTGATCGTGTAGAGTTGGGGAGTGTTATGGGCATGGATATAACAGGCGAATGAGAACATGCAGATGTAGGGAGGGGATGTGGGGAAGGGAGACGGAGTGGAGGCGGAGGTGCGGCTGCAGCGGGTGGATCACATGCTTGTCAGCCCTTGGGACAGACACACATCCGCGGCGCGCGCAACCGCAGCCGATACTGCGATTGATCGGCCATAGCCAGTGCGATGAATGAGATACACAGGGTGAGTAGAGACTGCACGTGTCAACCAACACCGATCAAGTAAGCTCATCTGGTCAAGATCGGCATCGGCTCGACTCGGCGAGTGGGCCCGACTCCTACGCGACCACCGTACCGCACCGCGCCGCATCGCATGGCGTTCACGACTAACGCCACTCTTGACTCACGAGACGACCATGAGCGGAGAGGTTGTCAGTCGACAGCCACAGCCATCACCTATGGTCCAAGCTGCTGCCCGTACTGGTCTTCACACCCGTGCCCTCGAGCAGGTAGACGCTCTGGAGAAGCAGCTGGAGGTACGTGTCTCGCTGAGGAGGCAGAGTCGAGGGGGGGAGGGGGGGTGGGGCATAGTCCACAGACAGGCCATGCATACTCACGCATCTGATATTTCTCTCTCTCTCTCTCTCTCTCTCTCTCTCTCTCTCTCTCTCTCTCTCTCTCGCTCTGTGTGCGTTGTGGGGTGCTTATGCTGTCGCGATCTGTGGTTGTCGTGGTTTGCGCAACGTAATCGATGGTGTTGCAGGCGCTGATGGGCAAGGTCATGACAGTCTTGAGTCGGAGGGCTGAGCCGTCCGAGAGCGAGGCCAAGGATGATGTGGTTGAAATCGGCAAAGCGCTGGAGCTGTTTCATGACCAGTGCGATGCGGTGTACTCGGAGCTGGTGGACATGTACGCTGCCGTCAACATGGAGCTGCTGAGGAGAGATGGGTCGGACATGCCGGCAAAGATCGTCCGGCATGCACAGCTCGACGACAACGCCAGTCATACTACCCGCCGCAACGCCCACCCACAAGACATTCCGGCCGTCATGGCTGCGGTCCAGGCTCGCATCGACACCGCATCGGCTCTCCGGGCAGCCTCCGACGACCTTCTCGCCGCCATCGCTCCGCCATCTGACCAGTAGTCTGTCTTCTGGCCGCCACTGACCACCGTCACCATCATCACCACCCACCATCCACCACTACCAACCCGCCCACCCTTGTCATCGCCACACTGTCAGCAGCAATAGCACTGAGCTGTTCTTTCCCTCTCTCCTCTCTCCTTCGACAAGTTTGGCCGTCTCTCTTCTGCGGACTCGAAGAGCATTCGCCCCCCCCCCCCCCC